ACCCTAAAACACAATTCCAAATTAAAGTCCAGAATCACCTTAATTTGAAAGGTCCAACAATTCAAACTTAAATCAGATGACTTGTTAAAATAAAGCATTAAAACATAAATATCCAATAACAACAACAACAAAAGATGAAGAAAAACACAACAAAAATTACAATAAAATATGAGTGATAAACATTTAATCTAAGACCGACGATGTTTTAGAGAGGAAAATTAACAAGTTGTTTTCATTTATTTTTTAAATCAATATAATAGTAATTGGATTCAAATTAAAATACACATAATTTTATGTATTTAAACTATTATATCACACGTTACAAAATTAAAAATTAGGGTAAAGTATATAAATGGTCCCTTGATTATAGGACAATGCTCTGTTAAGCCCCCGACTATTAAAAGTTACAAAACGTTCATTTGACTATTGCTTTGTTGAGTCTCTCAATTATTAAAAGTTACAAAATAGTCACCGACTATTTATATGTTCCAAACATGTCTTTTTCTATTAAAAAATGGACATCATTCTGAGCTGAACATTAACATGTAGACTGAGATATGATAAAATGTGATATTAGAATCTCAACGACTATCATATCTCAACCATCATGTTAACATCCAGCTTAGATGACCGTCAATTTTGTAACGAATAAGGACGATTTTGGAACATATAAATAGTGTAGTTACCATTTCATATCTTTTAATAGCCGAATGACTCAATAAAACAATGGCGTATAGTCAGAGGACCATTTTATAATTTATAATAGTCGGGGGACACAAAAATAGTATAGTCGGGGACCATTTGTGTACCTTATTCTAAAAATTAATTGAAATCAATTTTAAGGTAATTAGGTGGCCAATTAATGGTTTTTTCTCCTCTAATAATCAACTAATCTTCGATTGAAAAAATAGGTAGATATTTTTAAAAAATAAATATTAATTAATATTATGTTTTAAATGCAATAAAGTATCAGCATACTCGATTGAATTTTAGAAAATGGAATATTTTATAACTTAATACACATATAGTGCCAAATTGGTCTACCTGATATGGTTTGAGTAATTTGAGTGGGTTGGACGCGGATTGATTCAAATATTTTTATTAAAAATTAATATTTTTATTTTATCAATAAAAATCGAAAAAGAAAATCGATTTTTTATTTATAAAAATATTTTTCTGTAAGTTGTGATATAGACCTTTAGTCTCCTAATTGTATATATATTGATAAGTCAAAGGCTTTTAATTTAATATTACATCACATCTGTTTCACCTCTTATAAAATTGAATGGCTTGAAAAACTTAATTAGATTCACACTTTGAACTATTTTTTTTAATAATCTCGAGTGATTAAAAGATAATATATGTTTATAATATTTTTTAGCTATTGACAACTCATAAACACCCTACAAGCGCAACTGTTCGAACTCATAACCTCAAGAAAGAATAACGTTTCTTTTAACCACTTAAATCACTCAATGAATTTACTTTAAAACAAATCTTAATTAGGTGCCATTTATTGTTCAACTTTTATGACTAATATTTTATAAGATAATGTAATTCAATTATTAAAGTAGATCCATTGTATTTCATAAAACCATTAAATATGACCTTATCTTGAATTCTATATTATTTACACTTTGACATATATAAAGAGGATGTTCATATTTATTATGTCATTGGTTATGTAATAAGAGAATATGTTAAACTTTGCCAATTAGGTATGCCCTGACCTTAGATTTGGGAGTCATCATTGGCCTAAATTTTTTTTTGTACAAAAAAAAATATCTTAAACTTTTATGGGTAAGATATAGATTTTCAAATCGATTAAATTTTAGTTCGATTGATATTATTATTGTTATAACTTTTTGAAAATATAGAGTATAAATATAGTTAAATATATGAAGTGTCTTAATTTAAGAATTTAAGAAGAATTTGAACAATTCGGATATTATATCATAATATAGTACATTCAACACGAAGACATCATATATAACTTTTAATTAATGCACTTTTAAAAAATAAAATCTATTTTTTTCAATAAAATAAATTTGATTTTAAGAATCACATTTTCCAAAGCTTTATAAAATTCTGCAGGAGACATATTTTTTTTGATATATGTTCATATTACTGTCATTCTTAACTTCCCAATTGGCTTTCTCCTAGAAAGATTTACCAATAAATAAAAATGTTTTGTTTTATATTTTGTCTTCTATTTTATAATTTCAATTAATAGAAGTCTGAATATTAAATTAATAAATATTGAGTATTATAATAAGATATATTGTACTCTTCAATAAAAAAATTCATAGTTAAATATAAAAATAATATTATTAAAAAACAATCAACCTGAACATAAATCATAAAAGAAACATTAAATATATCGAAAACAATGAATCTTACTTTTTGACACCCGATTTTGTTGTATCGTTGGAGACAACAGTAAATGGTGTCATTTAAACATGCAAAGTGACATACCTACATACCAACTAATTTGTTTGTGAGACTAAAAGAGTTGGCCTATGCCAAATGCCTCTTTGTGTGAGTGTGTTTTTTATTTAAATAATTCATGGGATTATATAAGGTAATATTTGTTTAGAATTTTTTCTTAGTCATTAACAAGTCACATATACCATACAAACACACACTCTGTAGATGTAGTTGCTCGAACATGAGATCTCTAAGAATAATAATACTCCCTTTAATCATTGAAGTATCTTGGGCTTAGGGATGGGCATGAATTGGGTTTCGATCAATCCGACCCAATCCGGGAATTTTATACCCTCCACACGAAATCCAACCCGATTATAGTTTAGGATAATTTCACTTGACCAAAAATTTGACCCAAATTAATATATTAAATATAGATTCTCAAAAAATAACCCTCATGTTTATATCAAATTGGTTATGATTCTAAGACATTTAAAAAAAAATTATGAAAAATAATTAATACCATATGTATATGTAAAATTTAAATGATGTATAAAAGTTGAAGACTATATTTATTATTTTGTCAATTTTATAAGTTGTTGTATCAACTTTCAATTCAAAAATTAAATGTCAGTGATTATTTTGTATTTTTTTATAATTTGATTTATCAATTTATCACATTTTAAACTTGAATAATCTAACTAAAAACTTACTGATAGTCAAGTGATTACCTAAATACTTTACCAAATTCGTTTATATCTTTGTATACGATTCTCGTAAAAGAATATAGCTTAATATACTTTATCTCAAATCCCTTTATCACAACGTCCTTTATTTCTAAACAAAACAAATATATGCAATCAATGACTGATCCACCTTTAGTTAAAAGTTAGGATGGACAAGTGTTAACTCCAAAATTCAAATTTTCTTCAATTAATTTTTTGTTTTATTGATTTTATCAATCTCATACGAAAATTTTATAATATTAATATATGTATGTTCACCTCAAAAATATTTATGAATTTGTCACTATATGCAATCATTTAAACAGTTTCATGAAGAATCTACGTGATTTTTGTCCTCAAGGAAGAACATTTCAATCTTGCTCATGGTGGGTAAAGAATAAAGCTAAGTGTATAGAATATAATGGTTCAAAGAATACTTAGGGTTTAAGGTCCCATTATTCACATAACATGTTTTAATATTTTTAGATTAAAAAATAAAATGAAGTATATCAGCATTTATGACTCCCACGTCAACACAACAAATGAAGGGTGATTCTCTAGAACTCCATGTATGCCAACGCAAGGATTAGAGGGTAAAATTAGCATCCGAAACGGATGAATCAAGTGTAGGGCGGAATTGTTAGCCATACATGGTGAACTGCTATACTTGCTTCTTCACAATCCCAAACCTCAGGTACATGCAAAGGTCATTGCATAAATAAATTACACACAAATTTATCAGTGTTTGTGCAGATAAAAAGTGTCAAAAAGTTCATATCATAAGTCATATAACCAACACAAAAGATCAGAGTCCAACATATGTATACATCACAAAGCATACACAAAACACATTATATAGCAATTGCAATCATGCGCTCAGGTGATGTAGATAAATAAATGAATAAAAATATTGTCATTCTTAACTCAAATATCATACTCTCCGGTTCTTAATTCCCAATTTAAATATATATTAATTTTTTGTCTTAATTAAAATCACTTATGTTGAACCTATTGAATGACATTAGTAGTTAAAAGGAATGTTTTTTTCTCTTCATGTCTTGAGTTCGAGTAATTGTGTCTGCTTGATATGTGTGCGCATTGTAAATAACTAAGAGAAACTTTGAATATATACTATATTATAATCACCTCAGACTTCAAAAAATTATATTATACTATCAAGAACATCATTATATAATTAAACTTGAAATTAAAAAATAGTGAAAAAATAATTAAAAATAATACAAATTCAACATAAATAAGATTTATTCATTCATTATGTCCAAATTAATCCATGTAAATGGTTAAATGTTATTGCGTAAAGTTAATTTATTGTTAACTCGTGTATTAAAATATGAGTAATAAATAATATTTTTATCAAACATAATATTATAATGTTAAAGGAAGTTCATTAACCAACTAATTTAGAATTTCTTATAAACCTGAAATTTATTATCTAATTTAAAAGGTGAAATTATTTTCATCAAAATATTGTTTTTCTAATTTTTCATTTGCAAAAAGTCCATCTTGACTTAATGATTTGGACTGAGCATAACATTAATAATAATAAGATCAAATTTAGCCAAGTTAAAGCACAAGACGAACGTCAAATTGATTATAGAGTATTTGGACTAACATTATAATTTGACCAAGTTATATTATTTGAAATTTATTGCAGATCATATTTGTATGTATTGTAGCTCACAAAAATTCAATTTTTTTTGCCAAGAAAAGTAAGAGTTGTCCAACGTAAACGTGTCTATGGTTTTGGCGGTTTTATTTAGGGTATCAAAGACTCTCTCGTTGTCTTTGTTACGTTTCTAAACCAACATTTTCCTTGTAGACGATAAATTCCACAATTTTTATTCTTTTCCCCTTTTTTCCTCAAAGCCAGCTCCATTTTTGTTCATGTTCCATTGGTTGAAAAAGCTAATCTGAGCTGGGGGGAAAATGGGATTTTTGAGCACTTTGCTGGGAATCATTGGCTTTGGGATTGGAACTTCTTTTGGACTGTTGGTTGGATTCTTTCTCTTCATTTACTCCAAGCCCAAACCTGTAAAGGTAAGCAATGAATTCATCTCACCTGCAAAAGTTTATTGTTTTCTGGGAATCTGTTGATTATTTCCTTATTAGTCTTTGATGGGGGAAACCTTTTTTTTTCGATTTTTTAATCAAAGTTGAAATATTTTCCTTCATTTTCTTTTTGGTCTTGTTGAGGTTAAATCTGGGTATTTGTTAGTTTCTTCATAGGTTAATGCTTTACTGTTACTTGTTTCAGAGATAACAACTCATCAGAGCTTCTTAGTATTTTGTATTAAGGTTTTAGATTTCATCTGGGTTTCTTTAAAGCATTGGTGAATATGGTGTTTTTTGCTATTTTCTGCAAAAACTTTTCCTTCACTGATTTCTGCAATGTTTGTTAATTTTAGAAACTTCTCAATTGTTTTATATATATATACTGATTGTGACTAAAGAAAACTGGGACTTTAATTTTAGAAACATTCATGTTCTTTCTGGAGAATTCCTTAATCATGCATGCACTTGTTCTAATTTCAATAATTTTGGGTCAATTATGTTAATGCAATGCCGAATTGGTTAATGATCTATGCCTCTAGCTGTTCCATTGATATCATGCATAGGGTAGTTGACAAAGAAGAATATGAATTATCAACTTAGGAATAGGATGGAGTGTATGACTTTTCCAAGGACTCGATGATCGTTGAAACGGATAAACCGGGAGATTTTATCTTAAAGTGATGGTAGACTCGATAGCGAATTCAGAATTCTTTGAAACATTGGATTTATGATCGTGTATGCACGTGTTCTACTTTTCGATTTTGGTTGATATTTTGATAGTGTTGTACTCATTTTTGTATTTGAAGTTTTTGACATTATGTTCATGGTGCGGCTGAATTATTCGATGCCTCTAGCTGTTCTGTTGCTATCATATAGCTCAAGCAGTTGAATAATTATCGACTTAAGATAGAATGGAGTTTCTCTGTTTTCGGTATGATTTGATGAGAGTTGAAGTACCTCGAAACAGAAAAATCATGGCAGACATGATGGCGAATTCCCAACTAGAAAACGGAATTCCTTCTGTGATAGTTTTGTTTAATCTGCACACTAGCATGTGTAGCAGATAGTGATGTGTTTTCCTGCTAATTTATGCCTGTTTTATGCTCATATTTGGAAAATGGGGGTATAGGAACCAATTACTAGGTCGCTTTACGAGCTAGATGCTGATGCTTTGCTCGATATTCTACCGGATATTCCGTTATGGGTAAAATGTCCCGATTATGAGAGAGTAAGTATTTGAATTTTAGAAATATTGTTTTTATTCAAGCAGCATGTTGATGGTAATTGACTATAACAATGCAGGTAGATTGGCTGAACAAATTTGTTACTGATATGTGGCCATACCTCGATAAGGTTAGTTCGATGACTTAAAACAGTTTCGAGATTTCCAATTATGTTATAAACCCAGAGCTCTATTTTAATCTACAGGCTGTTTGTGCTCAAATAAAAAGCATTACCGAACCCATGTTTACCGAGTACGTTGGGACGTATCGAATAGAAGCCATTGAGTATGATAATCTAAGCCTGGGAACTATTCCTCCAGAAATTCATGGTAAGTTCCTTTTGCTGTTAACTTTACTCGCTGTGACGAGATTTGATGCCAAAGATAGCAGCAAACAACTATCTCTGTTACTGAACTAGTCCGAGATTTGATGCCAATGATTGTGAATATGATTGAATTCTTCCAAAGAAAATGGATATTGATTTGTTCACCAAAATCACATCATAGTACAAGCAAATGATTTTCAGGCCTTAAAGTGTGTGAAACAAATGAGAAACAACTAGTCTTGGAACCAGCACTTCGATGGGTTGGCAATCCCAACATAGTTTTGTCGGTGAAGCTGTTGTCGTTTCGAATCACCGTTCAGGTCAGAAGAGTCTAAAGAAAGAACTGAAAGAAGAATGTATCTATTTTCTTTTTTTTTTCGAGTGTTTGATTACGATTCTTTGCAGTTGGTTGATTTACAAATATTTATAGCACCACGGATAACTTTGAAACCTCTTGTACCGACCTTGCCATGTTTTGCAACTGTTGCGGTGTCACTCCTCGAGAAGGTTAGTAAAACTTTTCGAACACTGAAAACGATAAGATTAAAAAGTCTGTTTATATTTGCTTCTAAGTATAGATGAATGCTACAATCATTTTCCGGCGATGATATTTACTACCTGCCTGCAGCCTGATGTAGACTTCGGGATGAATATACTAGGAGGCGATATTATGGCTATACCCGGACTTTATCGGTTTGTCCAGGTACTGTTCTGGTAATTTCAATACAGAAAAGGAATAAGGGCTTATGTACTTTGTACTCTGTACATAGAGGAGCCAGCTAAATGTTCGAGTTGCCTGCAGAAAACAATTAAACAGCAAGTCGCGAGCCTCTACATCTGGCCAAAAACATTAGAGATTCCGATTCTTGATCCTGCGACGTAAGTTTCTATTTCATAATATGTTAGTATCTACTCTTTCTTTTCCTATGAAGAACTTTTAACCGCGTTCGTACTTTATATATGTCATTAAACATTCTTTTCTTTTTCGATTGATTTTTATAAAACTATAGAGTTTTATATCTATGGCTGAGGTTTCGATTTGGTTTGTCTATAGAGTTGCTGTAAGAAAGCCTGTCGGAATACTACATGTAAACGTTGTGCGGGCACAAAAGCTCTTAAAGAAGGATTTACTCGGAACGTCGGACCCTTATGTCAAGTTAAATCTTACTGGAGAGAGCCTGCCATCGAAAAAAACAACCATCAAGAAGAGGAATTTGAATCCGGAATGGAACGAGAAGTTCAAGCTTATCGTGAAGGACCCAGAATCTCAAGTTCTTCAGTTACAAGTCTTTGATTGGGACAAGGTATTTTCAGATTCCAGTGTACTAAGACAAAAGGTGCCTTTTTTATCTGAATAACAATTCAAATTGTTGTTTTTTTCTCTGTATGCATTGTTATTTTACAGGTCGGTAATCATGATCGGCTCGGAGTGCAGTTTGTCCCCTTGAAGCATCTTACACCCTATGAGAAAAAGGAATTTAAACTCGACTTGCTGAAACACACAGATAGTTATGTTCCTCAAGATAAGAAGCAAAGAGGGAAAATCGTGGTCGAGCTGACATATGCTCCGTTTAGAGAAGACAGCGTTAAATTAGATGGGACACAAGATGGACACTGGAGAAAGGAAAGCGGATTAAACAGGCGATATTCCGAAAACGAAGTCTATAGTGGAGCAGGTCTGCTTTCTGTTCTGGTTCAAGGCGCCGAGGACGTTGAGGGTGAACGCCACAACAACCCTTATGCCATGGTTTTTTTCAGAGGAGAAACAAAAAAGACAAAGGTAAACATCTTCAGTCGCATCAGTTTCTGTTAGAACTTCTTTTCTCAGCTTAGCATTGTTCGGTCCAACTGTTATGAATACGGTGTTTTCAGATGATCAAGGGAACCCGGGATCCCATCTGGAACGAAGAGTTCCACTTCATGCTTGAGGAGCCCCCTATAAACGAGAAGATCCATATCGAAGTCGTGAGCAAGCGAACAGGCTTTAGTTTCCGATCAAAGGTAAGCATGTGACCGTCTCCGAATCTCGCTGCATCATTACATCCTTAATGTTTGCTTGAATCATATGCTATGTAGGAGCATCTGGGAAATGCCGATATCAATCTCACCGATGTCGTCCATAACGGACGGATCAACAAGAAATACCACCTGATCGATTCGAAGAATGGAATGATACATGTAGCCATAAAATGGACGACGTCTTGAGGAACAGGTAGGGGATTATAACAACAGATGTAAATTGGTTTTGCAATAACAATACAAAGATTTGAGGATACAATGGATCAAACACGTAGTGAGAAATATAGGAAGACAGATTACTGCAAAAATAAAAGCTGTGAGAAATGTATAGTCATCCCGAATCTCAACCGTTTAACATTGAACATTCAAATACCCCATAATCTCTAAAGATAACAATCATCCCTTGTATATACGAAGTGCAATCATATGTCTCACCGAGATACGAAACCTATTAAAGCAGAATACGTTTGCAGCCCAGTAAAATAAATATTCATACGCAAATGTTATAGACTCTATGACATATACTAAATTAAGTTAGCAAAGACAATATTTATACGTATTTCCACTTATGAGCTTATTAAACCTTGCATCGTAACGCATTTATACTATTTAAGATTTTCAAACTCTTAAATTAAAGGATATCCTCTTGGAATGTTATAATAATAATAATCATATTAATCGAATTATTTTTTATTATTATTTGCATTTGAAAATATTTTCTTTCCTTTATGTTTTGAATTGAAGTTCTCTCTCTTAATGTAACAATTTTAGTTCAAAAAACTTTCACATGTAAGAGGAAGCATAGCTTTCAATTGTCTTCGTGTTCTCAGCCGAGTGTAACGGTGGTGGCACCATATTTAGCATGAATGCCCACGTCGCCGTCGAGAATAAAACACCTGTATCCACGTGGCATCGTCATATATTGTTGTCTATTTCTCTCCACGTCACAGCATGTTACGGGATCTTGACATATTTGAAAGTATAAATTACATTTTTTCCATTCAATAACCAAAATATGATTCTACTAAACATAAATAAGTGTAAGTGTTAATAATTTAAAATGTTTGCGTTCTGAAAAATCTTTATATAACATTTTACGGATAAAATTTTAATTACAATCACACTTGGTATAGTTTCAATAATTATAATTATACAATAAAATTTCATAGATAAAATTTAGAATAAGCCTGTTAAAAATAGTCATACACAACTCCAATAAATAAGGCAGAAACCTAACTTTTTTTTTAATTTATAATATAATATGTTATATTACTTTGTGTTACGTAATTTATATCTTATAAAAATTAAATCTATTATAATACGTGATTATAATAAAAATATATTTTTAATATAACCATTGATATTTGATCTACAATTAATCTAAATGGAATAACGTAAAAATATATTATGTGGGCAATATTTTTTATCCAGTTTGTTTTATTATGAATGCCTAAAATAAATTTATGTTTATTTTTTAAATTAAAACATAAATTATTTTACAAATAATATGAATACTTACACAAAAAAACAATAATATGGGTGTGCTCAAAATAAATGAGTTCGTCATTTACAAACATAAATGATGAGTAAATTACATTAATAGTCACTAAAGTTAGGATAAATTTATTTATCATCATTAGAGTTATAAAATGATCAATTATTTTGTAATAAAATGGTCGTTTAAGTGCAAGCATAATTATCTTTATCACGAAAATCTGTTATAAACACATTAAAACAGTTGATTTGACACCCTTTGTCCATGTTGGTACCCTCTCACCAATTTAACCTTTTTACATTAGAAGTGGAGGATCATATGTGAAAAAAAAAACCCAAGCAAGTTGAACTGCAACAATAGTTTATTTTTGATCTATCACTGTCGACAGTAGTTAGCGGTAGTCGATACAGTAATCAAAATTTAAGCAATTTGAGAAATATATATATATATATATATATATATATATATATAAGAATTCAAAATATTATTTTAGTGTTATTTTTTTTTAATGTCTTATTGATACCGTTTGTTATGTTTTAATATCTATAATTTATATGATTATTGTATATATATATTATAATATAATATAAAAATGCCACACACAATCTTTTAAAATATTAATTGCTCCATCACCTATCTTTCACTTGAGCAAAATAAATCCATAATTTAAATGTTAAAATACGACAACATATTTAAAATTTAAAAAATCTATAATTTAAAAATGTCAACGGGCAGACAAACGGAAAACGGGAGGGCACGGCGTTATATCACGAGAGTCAATATTCCCCGCACACCGACGCGTTAAATAATTCCCTTCCATCTCCGTGCATGAATTTCCGGGTCCATTTTTTATTTTATTTTTTGAGTAACCGGGTACCGCCTCCTATCACCTGCTACACCCGGTCACAGTGTCGGTGTGCAGGAAGTGTCGGCACCGACACGCCAGATTAATTCCCGGTAAATCGAGCATATTTTCTTAAAATAATTTTTGGTGGGGTCCAGGAGGCTTGGATTGGATGAGGTGGGAAAGTGGGGTCCACGTGGATGGGTTGATTTCTTCCGTAGGGTTGAGTACTTGACCACATGATCATGCGACCACGTGACTTTTAGCTCGCTCGATTCAGACCTGTCTTTCCAATCCTTTTTTTAAAAATAAATAATTTGCATTCAATTTTAACATAATCTTGTGGAAATCAATTAAAACTTTTTCCATGCCTTATTTTTATTGATTTTAATTGAATCCCATGTTAGGACAGCACTTTGTAATAACATAAACATAGACCTATACTCATCCGCATTCTATCTATACCCTACAAGCTACAGTGATTTTATTAATACAAAGAGAAATTAACATATAATGAAAGTATCAAAGAAATAAATAATCATCAATCATGTAATATTTAATTTCATTTATTTCATTTCTGTCAATGACCACCACGCACAATATATAAAGATCAAAACTTTAATTTACGTTTATCAATTTTATGGTGATTTTAAAATAAAAAAAAATAAGAAGAAGATATAGAAAAGAAATGGAAATATTTCGATAATTGGTATGAATTACGTCGTAGTTATCGGTCGGTAATGGTCAAATGATAATGAAGAAGGATTTTACATCGAAAAAAAAATTAAAATATTAAGTTGATTTCATTGGAAAAAATGCTCAAAATAAAACATTTTGGTGCTATTGTTACACAACTAATGCCTATGTGTCCTATATGGCTATATAATTTTTTTTTGAAAGTTTGTGACAATATCAGAAATTTTTAAATTTTATTTATCAAAATAAAAATACAATGAAAGTTGGATGATTAAATGTGTAGTTTACCTATTAAAAATATAAGGCTTTGGCTTAATGAAGCTCTCTCTCTCTCACACACACACATATATATATATATATATATGAAAGAGGCTTACATATTTTTAGTGTATTAGGTTTGAGTCCCAGTATACGTAAATTTACACACGTAAGTTGATTTTTGTTTGATTAATGTTCATTTATTTAAAATTGTTTAGATTCATGTTTATTTATTTAATGTCTACGAATAAGTTCAAGAAAATATAATAGAATATGTTCACAAATAATAAAAAATCAATTCATGAATAATATATAGATAAACCATAAATGAACATAATTCTAATTTTTTAGATATAAAATAATAATCAAACATAAATATTAATAATTGTATTATAAAAATAACACAAATACATGTATTTTTAGTATCTTTTATAGAAAACATCAAATGTGAATAAATAAATTAATAAACGAGTTTATTATTAAACTAATAAATAAATTTAAAAATAAATTTATTCGTGAACATAAATGAATCGAACATATATTTGTTTAAACTTGTTTGTTTATAAAACGAACACATTTATTTATTTGAACTCTTTTGTTTAGTTTAATAAACAAGCATATACTAACAATATCCAAACAATTCACATTTAGTTCATTAAACGTTTGTTCATTTATAATCTTATTCTTATTTAGATTGAAATCTATTTTAATTCGATTTTTAATACGACTCTAATATTTAATTAGTTTATTTTATATTTAACTCAATATGAGTTAATAAAAATATTTATTTAAATCTAAACCCGAAACTTATAATCTAACATAATTAAATTATTTTAACAATGGAAATCGAAACAACTTAGATCCAAGATAGATTAATCAAAGTTGGACCCAAAAAAATTCAAATAAATATCTAATGAGGGGTACATACGTAATTTCATATATAAGTATACCTACGCCTTAAACTCAGCCACACCATGGAGCTCAAATCACATCTTGTCTACCAAAGGCTGATGCTCCAAAGTGGCCCCACATAACAGATGATCTAAGGAAAACATCAAACATCCTCAAAAGGTAATAAAAACAACTCCTTACGGGTACTTTCGTCCAAGTGAAGTCGGGATTGCCGCCGTGGCGGATAAAGCTGGTCCACGTAGTCAAAAATAATCTGTCAAATTGTATACGAGGTCCACGTACTATGTATTTTTGTTGTTGTTGTCGTTGTTGTGATGGACCATATTGCTTCTTCATGAGTTAGGTCGAGTTTTTTTTCTACTTGAACATAACTTAAAAATTAAATTTCTCTAGTCTCACTTAATTTGATTTAGATTTAAAAGGACTTCATTTGATATAAATTTTGGGGTAAAAATTCGCACTTAATCCAACTCGACCTATAGATATAATTTTTATTAGGTGAAATAATGATCTAATTTAAAAAATATAGAGAGATGAATATTATTGGTCCACCAGGCAAAACTGTGAATCTCTGTCCTGCCACGTTGGCAAACGAAAGGAAGAATAAGAGAAGAACTACGTGCGAAATGGGTCCCACGTTCAACGTGGACTGTGTTTTCTAACTTTGACTTACTTGCACGCACGATGCACATGACCACAGCACCATCACGAAACCCCGTTTCCCGTTTATTCCGCCGGGTAACGCCACGTCGTTGTTGTCTCCAATTTACCAATTTGCCCGTGCCATGAGAATTATAGAAATGATTACGGGAGGACATATTAGTCATGAAAAATATAAGAAGGTTACCCCGTCTTTTTTTCCTTCATCAACTCCATGTGTATGTGACAACAAATTCCTAATTGGAAAAGAATTGTTGTTTTCTTTAGTAAACTATGTTACATTCACTTAAATCATTATACCTGAAATAAAGCTTTTGTTTAGATCTATAATATGGTATAACTATACTATACGAGTATAATATAAAATGTGATATGATAAAATAATAATACTAATGTAATATGATAAGAGTCAATAAGTTGATAATTGTGTTACTAAGATTAAAATTTTAG